TTTTACTTATCTAAATATTACTATAAAGTATATATTTTATTTTGCCTATCAACTGTTTTATATTTTTACTCCAACCATGCTCTTTATTTTAGCTATTTATCAAAATACTATTAATTTTATAAAATACCACGTCAACAACAAAGATGGAGGGAAATGATCCTAATGATTGAATATATTTTACCTAACGTTGAAGGCTAGCTACATGTAGCTAGTGAATATGAGTTGAGTCAAAATGCCTAATCATATGCCTAATGCATTGGAATTGAAAAAAATGAATCACACTAGGCATTTTAACTAACAAGTATTATATGCCTAATGCATTGGAGATGCTCTAAGGCCGTGTTTTATATATGAAAAATGAGAAAATATGTATAAAAAGTATGTAAAATGTAATTATATTTTATTTATTTATATATATATTTAAATTTTTTACTCAAATTCATAAACCAAAACAAAGTCTAAAACTATTTTTGTTGTTTAGTTGTTTGGTTTCAATTTTATTTTAGTTGATAAATGGAAAGAAAAGGCATATTTTTTAACAGGATTTATATTGTTTGTCAAATGTTCTAATAGTCTTTTTTTTTTCTTTTTCTTCCAATAATTTGGATAGTTAATTTATTTATTTATTTATTTATTATTCTCAAGTCTTTCTAGTTTAGAAATATCAAAATCACTAAAAAAAATTTATAGAAAAAAAAACTCACAAAATCTTTAATTCATCCCCAAATCCAATTGTTTGGAAGGTCGTCCACCAACGGTCATCTGCAAAATTTGATAAAAAAAATAAAAACTCCCTTGGTTTGACGAAAAATATAGTACTCTCTTCATTTGATATTAATATGATGAAACAATTGGAGTATCGTTTTCACCATTTTTTTTTTATTAAATTTAAATTTGATGAAACATTTTTAATTACTGGACATGTTTATACGTACAGACGAAACAGTACAATAAATGTGGTTTTGTTATACTACCTCAAAGTAAGTATAGCTAACTATGCGTCCAGCTTAGATGATCATCTTTACTACAATCATCACATTAGCAGGAATTTGATTAACAATCCCTGCCATGACACAATTAAGCCTTCTAGGCCAATTCCAACCTGCATTACTAAGCATGCTACTCACTTTTACATGCATATTTCTAAGTAGCTTATGGCCAAGGTTGCTGCCAAATCTGGATAAAGAGGCCCAAGTGGGTGCCAGTTATCATGCCAGAGATATGTGTTCTTGCCATTCCCTATAACAGATTCGACATAAGGCTTGGCAATGTCTCTTACTTTAAACATCTTCGTCACTGTCCAAGAAGCATCGATAGGAGTCTTCATGTACCACAAACTCTGGTCTTAGATGATATAAGTGTGAATCCACTTAATCCATAACACATCTGCCTTCATACACAAGGCCCATAATTGTTTAAGGATTGCAGCTCTATTCCACTGCAACACAGACTTAAAACCAAGACCCCCTTCTTCATTAGGGCAACAAATAGCCCAGCTAACTTTAGGGGCTGATTTACTAATATCTGAACCAGACCACAAGAAATTCCTCATAGCTCTGATGGTATTTTTTCTATAAGATCAGCTTGACATGTTGTTAAAACTCATCATCCTGTGGTGCACTGGTCTAAGGTTGTGTGGTTTTCCTTACATGTTCCCAAGTGGTCATTGATTTGCTGGTTGTCCATCCTTTGGTAGACTTTCCACCCTTGACAGAGTTAGGAATTGGGGCCTTACTCAAAATATGACTTGTTTGCTTTGCAATTCTGCTAGTGAAAATCATGAAAATTTATTTTTTAAATGTAGCTATGCAAGTAGTATTTGGAGGAGTGTCTTAAGCTTGAATGGTGTGCCTAATCTAGTATGGATATGCATCAGATTATTTCCTGGGCAGTGCAAAACAGGAAAGGCAAGAGTTTTCAACACAATTTGTCCAAGCTTTCTCTTTGTGCTACTGTCTATCATATCTGGCAGGAGAGAAATTTCAGATTGTTCCAGACCAAAGCAAAGCATGTAGTTGATCTTCTCAGTAACCTGCTTGAGAACAAAGCAAAGCATGTAGTTGATCTTCTCAGTAACCTGCTTGAGAACTTTAGATGGAGAGATGCTTATTGGAATGACTTTGAGAATGATGAGGCATCTAGGATTTTAATATGTGCTTGGAGTTTCTCCCCTAGAATCCTTCATGGATACTTCCTTCTGATGTATTGTTAGCTTAGGGAATGCCCTGGCTTTTTGTTGTTGTTTGTGTTTGTGCTTTATAAAATTTTTCACATTTCAGGAAAAAAAAAAAAAAAACTATAGCTAACTAATATTTGTAACATTACTCTTAATATATATCTCATTCTTCATGGCCATCTTGCTTGCAAAATGGACTTGCTTTTGATTCTTCAGATTCGGATCCACCTTGTGGAATTCAATTCCTAGCTGATGGATGCTTGGTCTACTTCCACACATCCAAGGGTAGTTGTTGCTTCAATGTCTCACGGTTTGGTAAAAAATGTCTTCATCAAATGCGTCGAGGTATTACACGCTTTAGAGATGAAAACGTTGTTGTCGCACAAACTGATAAAATTTGGAATATGTGTGGTTCACACTCAAAAGTATCGGACCAAGATTATCTGCAATAATTTCTATAATAATGGTAGTTTAAAAAGTATTTTTTAAAATGATTTATAATTAATTATGAATAGTGAATTCTTTAGGAAAAAAAATTGTGTCTTTCACAATGGAATCTAATAGGTGAGATTTCAAGTATTTATATAATTTTTTTTTATCTGAAGAAATTATTTATCGAAATAATAAGTCACCATCCACACTGAAAGATTGGTAAGGAGAGAGAGAGAGAGAAAAGAGAGAGACTGGAATGAAAATTGATATGTTCACTATTTGTTATTGTATATTTGTGTATTACAAGAGAATAAGCTCTCTCTCTTTATAGAGAGGAGAAGGAGACAAAGCATACGACAATACACATGGGTTAGCTCTCTTTACAGCTGAATACATAGTGGTTAGCTCTCTTTACAGCTGAAGGTAGTGGGTGAGTGTGTGGTAGTGGGGCTCTTTACAGAAGTGGAGTGTGTGGTAGTGGGGCTCTTTACAGAAGTGGAGTGTGTGGTAGTGGGGCTCTTTACAGAAGTGGAGTGTGTGGTAGTGGGGCTCTTTACAGAAGTGGAGTGTGTGGTAGTGGGGCTCTTTACAGAAGTGGAGTGTGTGGTAGTGGGGCTCTTTACAGAAGTGGAGTGTGTGGTAGTGGGGCTCTTTACAGAAGTGGGTCTCTTTACAGCTACAGCTATAGATGCACTATAGTATTTTGATGTATGGTATATTATATATTAACAGCCCCCCGCAAACTCAAGGAGGGTAGGCATCGACCAAGTTGAGTTTGGAAACAAGATCACGGAAGCGCCCAGGAGGATGAGCCTTGGTGAAAATATCAGCAGGTTGATCGGTAGAAGCAATAGGAAGAGGATGAACAGTACCACGTGTAACATGCTGTCGAATGAAATGACAATCAATCTCAATATGTTTGATACGATCATGGAAGACATCATTAGGAGCAATTTGAATGGCACTCTAGTTGTCACAATAGAGAGAGGTAGCACCAAGGGAAGAAACACCCATATCAACAAGGAGCTAGTAAAACCACAAGAGTTCCTGAGTAGTGTTAGCAATAGAGCGGTATTCAGTGTACTAGAGCAAGCAGTGAGGATTGTTTCTTATTGCGCCAAGTAAGAAGAGAATCACCTAAGAAGCAACAGAAACTCGTGGTGGAGTGTCGATCAGTAGGATCCCCAACCCAATCAGCATTAGAAAAGGCATGAAGCTCGAGAGAAGAGTGAGCATGGTAGTGGAGTCCGTTGAACATAGTGCATTTGAGGTAGCGAAGTATGCGAAGTAGAGTAGTATAATACAGGGTGTAGGGAGCCGACATGTACTGACTAACAAGATGGATAACATAGACAATGTCAGAACAAGTCACAGTGAGATAAACAAAGCTACATACCAGTTGGCAATAAAGAGTAGCATCAGAAAAAAGATCCCCGTCTAGAGGAGTGATCTTCATGGCCATCTTGCTTGCAAAATGGACTTGCTTTTGATTCTTCAGATTCGGATCCACCTTGTGGAATTCAATTCCTAGCTGATGGACGCTTGGTCTACTTCCACACATCCAAGGATAGTTGTTGCTTCAATGTCTCACGGTTTGGTAAAAAATGTCTTCATCAAATGCCTCGAGGTATTACACGCTTTAGAGATGAAAACGTTGTTGTCGCACAAACTGATAAAATTTGGAATATGTGTGGTACCACTACAAGAAATGTCACTTTTGGCTACCAAAATATTGGTCGCCAAAAGTCTAATATTTAGTTGCCGAAACCATTTAGCGACTAAAATATTTTGTCGCCAAACTCGTCGCCTATACCCTGTCGGCGATAGTATTGGCGACTAAACTTTGTTTGGTTGCCGAAAGTTACTACATTTCGCTACTAAATTATGTTTAGTCGGCAAATGTTATGTTTCCGCCACTAAAACTTTAGTCGCCGAATGAGGCTTTTTGGCTACTAAGTTGTTGTGGTCGGGGAAGGTGTCACCTTTAGCTACTAAATAATTAGTCGCCGAAAGTACACATTTGGCTACGAAACATTATTTAGTCGGCAAAAGGTGCATTCCGTGACTAAAAATTTAGCGGCCAATAGTTTCTTTCTCTCATTCTCAATTATTTTAGCTACTAATTATTTGGTCGCCAAAACTTTTTAGGTTATGTTTTGCTACTAAATTATTAGTCACCAAAACATTTGATTACGTATTTGGCTACCAAAATATTTGGTAGCCAAATGCTTTAACGTGTTTTTTTTTTTTTTAAAAAAAAAAAATTCTAAACAACCTGTATCCATTATGAATACAACCTGTACCCTGTATAAACAATATAATCTATCAACACTAAATATGTTATCAATCATTCAACAATGTGCACACATTTTAGCTCCAACCATCCAAAAAATTAATATTGAACGTCCAATTATATATTTATTACAAATTCCATAAGAACCAAGTGTAATCCAACGTCAATAATTTAATTTCATACATAATACAGGAAAAACTAACTACTCCCATTACACATTTTAGTTCCAACCATCCAAAAATAAGTACTAATAAGTACAAGATGTCGTCCTGGCATCACTATAAGCTCCCATTGTTCGAGTCCTTCCATAAAACCCTTCGATATTGTTCTCTTACTTTTATTGAGGACAATATGGAGGGAAGGTTGCTCTTCAGTCCTTCCATAAGTACAAGATGTTGTCCTGGCACCAGAGTCGTCTTGCTCTTTAGTCTTGCGACTCAAACTTCCAGGCAGCGACGTTGGATCGGTAGTCTCACCAAAAGAATCATAGGCTGTCCTACGGTCATTCTGCTCCTCCAGTCTAGTTGTGGCTAGTAGCTGGGAAGGTGGTGGTGGTGACCGGCTCTTTCATTTCGACTTTATAGATAGCGTCCTTAATGTGCAGTCAGTGTAGAGCAAGATCCATGGATGGCCTGAAAGGAACATTGATGAGTGAAAAAGATTAGCATATTTACAAACAAATTCAAGATTAAGTCAAGAAAATGGTATGGGAAAAAAAAAAGTGAATGATAAAAATTGATGTTTCTAAACATTCAGGTATTATTCTAGGGCACTGGCATGCTCAAGAGACAAGCCGAAATTGTATTGGTGGAATCTAGTGTCACACTATTAAAAACCAATTCCATGCTAAATGCTAAATTTGTTTAAAGAATCATGGTCTAAGAAATGATCACTCCATTTGAGAGTTCAGCATGCATCAGACCAAATAACTCCGCCATTAAGATTTTCAAATGCCTTTAAACTGATATACTTCCAAAAATATTTTGAAAAAGTCAGACATGAGGCAACCATTCAACAATAGAAGTTGATTAGGCCAGCAAAACCTGTGGGCCCCAATCATTTTCATAAAAATGTATGCTCACACCTTTTTGGCTCTTTGTACTAACATAGGAAGAATGATATGTACTGGGAGACACAGAAAGGCAATACACATATAGGACCATTATGTACTTCGTCTCATGATCTTGCTATTCTTGCTTCAGTTGGTAAGAAGGAGAAGGACCTGTGAAGAATATCCACCATTATCAATACCAAGCACCAGGCATTACACAGATTGGCCATAATTAAAACATAAAACCCTTAGACCATTTACAAAGCTTTTTTATAACAGGTTTCTATTGGTAGCTTAGTATCCACCGAATCATGTCAAATTATATCACTAAATTTCCAATTACAGGCTCCAACAAATGATAAAAAAATTTCCTAATTGGAAGAAACCACTCAAAAATAAATAAATAAATAAATTGCAAAGATCTAATAAGTAAAGAAACAAAAAGATAAAAAGGTCCATATTCATTTCAACTTCTGGTGTTCAAAAATGCAGCAGAAAGAAAAATATTTAACAGCAATAAAAGTAAGACAACAATATGGAGGGAAGGTTGCTTAGATAATGTGGTTTGCACTGGTATCAAACAAATTATTGAGGAAAGTTATTTATGGAAACAATAAAATAAGTAGTTCATAATACAGCAAAAATACTTCACATCCCAATTATTTACTGAAGGATCAAAAGGTTGGTGACAATATGCGTAACGAAAATGCAAGAAGCCCCTATATGTTCATAATTCGAGGAACTTTCCCAAGCTCTCTTTTCTGACTCCAAAACAGTTACTTTATCATCTGCCAACATGCCAAATGTAAGCCATACTAAAACTTAAATTGAAAGGCAAACTCATTCACACAGAATAATATGAATAAATTCTAACAGGGTACGCTTGTTAATGTGACTAGACCTAATCTCGGTCATGATGGCCGAAGATGATGGCATAGACAGCTGAATTGCGAAAAATAGTACATGAAGCCAACAAGAAGTAAATAGAATAAAAAGCCTTAATGAGTTGAGTACGCATTTAACAGGTTCAGCTTTATCATGTGTTGCCAAGACTAGCATATTACAAGCTCGTAAGACTTTGTTTTAATTTTACCTCAACGCATATATTAATGTCGTGAATCATGATGAAATCAGTCCTAATCCAAAATACAAAACCAATAAATTGTTTGTCACTCCTATGCATGTCTACAAAACTTGCCCAACTAATAAATCATTAAATTGTTTGTATATAATAGAATTTGAAATTTTCATGACGAATACATACACTTCCCCAACCAATAGAATTCCCAATAAAACTTTGTCTAACTTTGTAATAGTTGGTAATAGTTGGAAGCTTCAAGGCATCAATGGAGTATCGAGTTGCAGTCACAGGAACCACTGCATCAGTGTCTCCACTGAACAAAGAAATTTATCTCAATGAATTATTAAGCATGACCAATTAAACAAAAAATTGGAAACAAAAATGAAGTGTCGAACTTTGTTATTTGTTTTCAACTATAGGAGACTGAACAAATTAGCTGTAGAAGATTTGTTATTTGTTATTTGTTTTGACTGCAAAGATTGATTTGCACTTCTGCAATAATACTATATGTTAATACTCTGCCTCTTTAAAAACCTCAAGGGTTAGGATGTGGTTGGAGATTGTTTAATTATCAATAGAGAACCAAGTGAAGTAACCTTGTGAAGTACTGATATCAATTTTAAATGTTGCTTCTACAGTGGCATGATTGGTATTCATAAGAAACAAAAAGCAGAAAATTGGTGTTAAAATATATGATTGGTATTCACTGCATGATCCAGACTAATAGAATCCTAAGAAACAAAAGGTAACTAGATATCATATGGTTGCTGAGTGTGAAGTTCTTGAGTGTGAAGTTGGTGTTAAAATATTACCTGTCAACAAGAATATTTTGCATGATAACATCCAACATGGAATGCGCATATTCAGGATGGTCAAGAAAGTTCCTGCATAAATGACATAAAATTGTGAATTACATTAAACTAAAATCTATTGGGTTAACAATGGTGACATCAGTTCAGATGATGCAGATACAATAGAGCATTTAAGAAGTCAAAGACAATCAATGAAATATAATATAAATATTCCAATGTAAAGATAACAAAAAGAATTAATCAAAGTGACAAAAACAACCAAAAAATATCAAAGAGCAGAAAATTATTTGAAACTACTAGGCCAGCAACTACCTTGAGAAGAAGTGTATATCTTTCCCATTTTTATGGATTTGAATGCGGTCACCATCAAATTTGCACTCAACAACTACTTCCTTCCCATGAAGCTAGACAAAAGGGACAAAAGTATAATGGAACAGAATTAATTAATGGAGTTAGGACACACAAACTTGTAACAGATTTAAAACAGTAGAGAAAAAAAATCCTAGGAAAGAACAAAATTCAGCCAACAAGAATATTCAATCTAAAATCCATCTTCTTAGCAACCTCGTAGAATATTGTCTCCAGAACATCTTTTATTTTTTAGAAGCATTTTAAATGGAAATTTTTTCTTTAAACATATAAGAGTGTTATTAACAGAAATTAGAAACAACTGGTATTTAGAAAATATAAGCTCGGACAAATCAGAAATTAGAAAATAACAGAAATTAGACAAATCAGAAAATATACATAAGCTTGGACAAACAACTGGTATTTAGAAAATATACATAAGCTTGGACAAATCAGAAATTAGAAATCTGATAGATCAACAAATCACTGACGAAACGAGATAGTAGAATATGACCCACCAATCACATGAAGCAAATACCCTGATCAAGAACAATACTAATGGCATTCCACTGAGCAATTATACTAAACTAAACTAAACTAGAGAAATATTTAAAATGACAATGAGCAAATGAAAATCACAGAAATATAAAATCAAACCAAAGTTACACAAAATCACTATGATCTAAAAGATAGTTCAGCTAAGATTCAGACCATATGTCAACAAAAAAAAAAAAAAAAAAAAAAAAAGAGGACCCAAATTAGTCCAAAATCAACATAGAAGGGAAACAGGACAAAAAGATTCCCAACTTCAAACCCTACCATCAAAGCAATCACCAGAAATGCAAGTGAAGGAGGCAACCCAGCTCATGAAATAAACCATAAGCAACCCTCAGTTTAGTTGCCCAGAAAACAGAACAAGAAGAAACAAAAACCCACATGGAAGAGAGAGAGAGAGAAGCATACGCGAGACGGAGCATCAATGGAGTAGAGTTCATCTCAGCGATGAAGCCTCTGGATCTCGTGGTGGTGGTGGTGGCGGTGGATCTATGAAGATCGGCGGAAGAGGAGGCGGCGTGAAAAGAGGCGGTACTCACGATGACGATGGCGATGGCGGAGGAGGAGGAGGTGCTCTGGTTTCCGGCGAAGGCGAGGAAGAGCAGCAGTGAGAGAGGGAGGGGAGAGGAGCAACGCTGAAAATAGAGAGAGAGAGAGGGGGGGAGAGGTGCTGATTATTTTAGGGTTTGGTTTGGTACAAAATATATATATATGTATCATCTTTGGCGACTAAAATATGATTTGGTCACCAAAGATAAAAGTAATTATTTGTTTTCATTCGGCTACCAAACAATTTAGTAGCCAAAAGTAGGTCTACAACGACTAAAAGGAATTTTGTCGCTGAAAATATATTTTTGGCGACTAAAATTTTGGTCGCCAAAGATTACAAATTAAATTTTTTATTTTCATTCGGCTACCAAACAATTTAGTAGCCAAAAGTAGGTTTACAGCGACTAACAAGGAATTTTGTCGCTGAAAATATATTTTTGGCTACCAAAATTTTTTTCGCCAAAGATCAAAAATAAATTTTTTATTTTCATTCGGCTACCAAACAATTTAGTAGCTAAAGGTACCTCTACGGCTACTAAAATTTCTTTTAGTCGCCAATTGTGATATGTTTAGCTACTAAAAATTTTTTTAGTCGCCAATTGTAATATTTTTAGCTACTAAATTTTTTTTAGTCGCCAATAATCAACATTCCCCTACTAAAAAAAATTAGTAGCTAAAAAGTTGACTTTTGCCGACTAATATTATTTTTGGTAGTCAATTCCGTAACTTTTGGCGACTAAATTGTTTTTGGTAGCCAAAAATGGTCGCCAAAAATATATTTTCTTGTAGTGTACACACTCAAAAAGTATCGGACCAAGATTATCTGCAATAATTTCTATAATAATGGTAGTTTAAAAAGTATTTTTTAAAATGATTTATAATTAATTATGAATAGTGAATTCTTTAGGAAAAAAATTTGTGTCTTTCACAATGGAATCTAATAGGTGAGATTTCAAGTATTTATATAATTTTTTTTTATCTGAAGAAATTATTTATCGAAATAATAAGTCACCATCCACACTGAAAGATTGGTAAGGAGAGAGAGAGAGAGAAAAGAGAGAGACTGGAATGAAAATTGATATGTTCACTATTTGTTATTGTATATTTGTGTATTACAAGAGAATAAGCTCTCTCTCTTTATAGAGAGGAGAAGGAGACAAAGCATACGACAATACATAGTGGTTAGCTCTCTTTACAGCTGAATACATAGTGGTTAGCTCTCTTTACAGCTGAAGGTAGTGGGTGAGTGTGTGGTAGTGGGGCTCTTTACAGAAGTGGAGTGTGTGGTAGTGGGGCTCTTTACAGAAGTGGGTCTCTTTACAGCTACAGCTATAGATGCACTATAGTATTTTGATGTATAGTATATTATATGTTAACACACACATCTAAACTTATAATCTATCTTTGGAAGGACAGTTTATGTTCTGTATGTCAATATTAATTTTTCGTTTGGATCATGAGGTGGGAAATGGAAAAATAATAATAATAATTTGATATCTCACATGGGTAAGAAATGAAAAAAAAAAATTATAATTTCTTATCATCATCGTGCTTTGATCAACAATAAATAAAAATGCACACTTACTTTTTTTGGCGGGGCTTCATATTTGGAAGGATAATTGAGGAATTTTTAAAATTTTGATACGTGGGTTTGTACTGAATATACTCTGTTCTGATAACAGATCTTTAGTTGCTTGGTTTCAGTGTTTCCTTTTTGTTTGTGTTCGTTGGCTAATGGAACAACTCCATTGGATTGGTAGTTGTTAGGTTTTATTTCTTGGCAATCCCGTTTAACAAAATTCCTTTGAGTTGTAATTTTATTCGCATTTTTATTTCAGTGAGGCTATGAGTTGTTAGATGCGAATCCAACCCGAATCGAGCCTTTCAGAGAAGTTTGTGATGTTAATGCTTTCAAGATTGCCACTTCGTTGATTATGACGGGGATCGAGCTGCCCAGTCAGCTCGCGGGGGTCCAAGGGGCAGCGCCCCTTGGCGGGTCCGGGGCAGCGTCACGGCGTGGTCGAGGAGCAGCGCCCCCGAAGCAAAATGCAAAAATGCATTCCAAGTTGCCTGTCCGCTCGAGCGGAGAATGTTGGGTTTCAGAAGTTTGTCAGGTCTGTAAAAGTACTGGAAGGTGTGATTTCGCGCTCGAGCGGGTTCTGCAGCGCTCGAGCGGACCTCTGTTTTGTCACACGCATATTTTGCCGAAGACGCTCGAGCGGACCGCGCGAACACAGTTTTCCGGATTTCAATAAGGATTGGGTTTTCTTCCAAATCTAGGATTACTTTTGGTTTTCTATAAGTAGTTGGTTTTCTCCCAAAACTAGACTACTCCTGAATTCCTCCAGATCTTCTTTTTGGTTCTTAAGGTTTATATCTGGGGATATTTTGTTAGTTTTCTTTGATGTTTTATTGAGTATTCAACTCATGGTTTAAAGAGAGTACATCAAAGGTTTTGTTTGTTATACACAAGAGAGAGAGAGTTGTTCTTCGGTGGATTCTGAAGAATTTGAGCCTGAAGCTTCGGTGGATTCTGGAGTGGCTCATCGTAAAGACAATTCCGAGGTGAAGATGGGGTTGGAAGAGGCACATAGAGGTTGGTTCAGTTAGGCGTAGATTCACTAGGTAATTAAGAGTATACCTGTGTAATTCCTTTAAATCTTCTTAGTGGATTGTTTTGTGGCTGTTGCCCGTGGTTTTTTAATTACAGTTGGAGGTGTCCACTTGTGGTTTTTTCACGTTAAAATCATTGTGTTGATTTGTCTTGATTGTTTGATTGGGATTGTTATATACTGCTTAAATTTGACACATAATCACAAATCAACATCTAGGGGATTTCTAGATTTTTCAATTGGTATAAGAGCAGGTCGTTCTATTTTTTAAAAAAAAAAAAATTGTTTTAGAACGAGATCTTGTTTGATTTGTGATAATGGATTCAATTCGTGAGGGAAATTCTATGGTTCGACCACCCCTACTTGACGGATCCAATTATTCTTTTTGGAAAGCTCGGATGAGATCGTTTTTAAAATCTATTGATGAAAAAGTTTGGCAATCTATCATGAATGGGTGGACCGAACCAACAATTACTATTGATGGAGTAACTTTTCCCAAACCAATTGATAAGTGGGACACAACGGATTACCAAAATAGTAGCTGGAATAGTAAAGCTATCAATTCTCTCTTTTGCGCTGTCACACCTGAAGAGTTTAGTCGTATTTGCAATTGTGAAGTCGCAAAAGAGGCTTGGAATATCTTACAAACTATTCATAAGGGCACTCATTCGGTTAAACGCTTAAAACTTCAAAGGCTCACGTCTAGTTTCGAAAACCTTTCAATGAAAGATAGTGAGACCTTTGATGAATTTTATGCGAAATTGAGTGACATTGTAAATTCCAGCTTCAATTTAGGTGAAAAAATTTCAAAATCCAAAGTTGTGGGAAAAATTTTGAGATCCTTGCCCGATCGGTTCCAACCAAAAGTTACGGCTATTGAGAAGGCTTAAGATGTTGACAACCTCAAGCTGGATTAGTTGGTTGGAAATCTCCAAACTTATGAGGCACACAGGAATTTCAAAAAGAAACAAAAAGATACTATTGCTTATAGCAGTGCTCATAAAGTGGTAGAGGATTCTAATGAGGATTGTGAGATAGATTCCAAGATTATGGCTGCTTTTGTTACACAATTTAAAAAATCTTTTTTGAAAAAGAATCCTAATCTTTTGGAATCTACTCATACTCATAAATCTAAAGGCAAAGATAAACTCAAAATTAATTCTATAGCCAAGAAGGAGAAAGGAAAAATACAAGGGAACTCTGAAAGAGTCCAATGCTATGAATGCCAAGGATTTGGCCACTTTGCTTCAGAATGCCCCACTCGTTTGAGGAAGAAGAAAGCCCTCGCTATCACTTGGGATGACGAATCAGAATCTGATAAAGATGAAAGTGACGATGAAGATCAAGGCGAAGAGGGGCATAAACAATTTCTTGCTTTCATGGCAGCTTCCGAAACTGAAGGACAAACAGAGTCTTCAAAGAGGTCAGTTGAGAATACCACTGATGATGAATCCTCGGAGAATGATCATGAAGAGCTTGAGCAAGCTTATGAAAAGTTGTATAAGGAGTCTCTTAACTTATTCAAATTGAATGACAAACTCACAAAGAAACTCAAAGCATGTGAAAGTGAGAATGTCAAACTTAAGGAGGAGATTTCCGAGGCCAGGATTGATGCCATCAAGATAGCTGATGATCGACAAGCTCTTTGTGCAAAACTATTGACTTGTGAGACAGAGAGGAATAAGCTACTGGAAACCCATGCCATGGATGAAGAAAAGATTGAATCTCTCGAGATGTCACAAGTTGCTTTGGAAGAACTATTGATCAAGAAAGAGGAAGAGCTCAAGTGTGCTATGGCTACCATTGGTCTTTGGAACAAAGGATCAAAGACTTTGGAGGATATCATTGGATTTCAACATATGAGTTGTGACAAGAGTGGCATTGGCTTTGGTGATAACAAAGAGCAAAAACAGAGTGCATCTACATCTCATGATACAAGAACTCAAGGAAAAGGAGAACAACAAATTCAACATGAGGATGGACTTCTCAAACTTCCTAGAGTTGGTAAGGTAAAAGAAAAAAAGGTACACCCTGTAGATCCTATTTTTATTTGTCATCATTGTGGTATGCATGGTCATATTCGCCCTTATTGTTATAAGTTGCATGGGAGAGTGTCTCGAAAAGGTAAAAATTCGAATACTTTTTGGGTTAGGAGATAACCTTACATGTTCAGGCAGAATACCAAGATTCATGAGGGTGTTCACAATGCCACGACATTTACCAAGACCACTAGACCTAATTTTGTTAAGATCAAAAAGATTTGGGTAATAAAACTTGACTTATGTTAATTTGTTTTGTCATTTTAGTTTTTTGGGTTTCTGTGTGTTTTTTTTGTCATTACATGTGTGCTTGTTCGTTTTTGTCTTGCTTTGGTTAAGAAAAAAATAAAAAAAAATCCCAAAAAGATTTTCTTAGTATGGCTTTGCAAGCTTGAAATTTTTGAGTGGTCCTTGGTGCATATTGGAATTGATGAGAATATCCATTACATGTTAACATATGTGTGCTTTCTGTGGTCATTACTCGCTTTAGAGTGTGTGTTTTTTTATTAGTATGTCTCATTCTGTACACACTCTTGGATTAGCAAATTTTGGAGTCTTCCGCCTTAGTGATTATTTTTTCTCTATGGACTTCTATCATTGTATCTTTTGCTTTTCTAGAGGAATTGACCTATACTAGCACATCATGGGTGATGTTGAGTCTCTTAACCACCTTCCATCTTTTTGCACCTTCATGGCTTTCCCCTCTATTCTTTGCAATCCAGCCATAAGGAAAAGGCTACCTCAGAGTCACCAACCAGGCCATCCTTATTATATCCATGCTTCTCTAGTTCGGTTTCCATACTCTTGAGCATGTCAGCCACCAATGATTGTGCAAAAGAAAAAGAAAAAGAAAAAGAAAAAGAAAGAGTAGAAGACAATATATGCAAAAGAAAGAAAAAAATGTGCAAAAGAAAGAAAGAAAAAAAAAGGAAAAGATTCATTGATTGAGGGGGAGCCTCCGCTTTTACTCACCAAATACCCCTTGATTCCTAGTGGTTTGACTTTCCTTTGTCGTGCTTAGATTCTCTTGTCAGAGGTCCAACTTTCAGGTCACTACTAGGATTGAATCTAGTGTTTGTCGAACTTCAAGAGTCACACACACACTTTTATCATGGGATCTATGCTTTTCACAAAATGCATCACCTTCTTTCATGAGGAATCTTCTGCAGACTGTGCACATTGTATTTTCTTGTAATGGTACTTCTTGGATAATCTTGTGTGTTTTAAGGTACTAATCTGAAATTCCTTACTTGCTCAACCATATTATTTTTGTTGTTTTTTCTTCTTGTTCACTGTTTTCAGTGTTTGTGGTTTATTTTAGTGAGGGGGAGTTTGGTTCATTTTAATTTGCGTTGGTAAGGGAGTTTGGTTTTTCATTGCAAGAGTTGTTTAGCATAAACACTTTGATATATTTGGTAAGGGAGATTGGCTATATGTTTTGCATGTTGCTATGCACTATTTGCCCTTCTTGTATGTTCTTGGTATTTACATCGTCATATCATTGCTTGTGTGGTTTATGATCTTGCTTTTGTTGTTTGAGAGTTGTTTTTCATGAGTCTTAGTTTTCATCTATTCATGTTTTTCATCTCATGTTTCAAGTTAATCGTGTCATATGTCTATTGTTTTTTCATATATTCTTGTGGGACTAATAGTTGTTTTGGAGATTGTGGCACTAATAACTGTTTTGCAGATCATGACCTTGAGAAAGAAGTTGGCTTTTGTTGGCTGTAATGGGTTAGGGTGTTTAGGATTTTATTTGTTAGGTGTGTTTTGTCACGGCATTGCCAAATGGAGAGATTGCTAGGTTTTATTTCTTGGCAATCCCGTTTGACAAAACTCCTTTGAGTTGTAATTTTATTCGCATTTTTATTTCAGTGAGGCTATGAGTTATTAGATGCGAATCCAACCCGAATCGAGCCTTGCAGAGAAGTTTGTGATGCTAATGCTTTCAAGATTGCCACTTCGCTGATTACGACGGGGATCAAGCTGCCCGGTCAGCTCGCGGGGGTCCAAGGGGCAGCGCCCCTTGGCGGGTCCGGGGCAGCGCTACGGCGGGGTCGAGAGGCAACGCCCTCAAAGCAAAATGCAAAAATGCATTCCAAGTTGCCTGTCCGCTCGAGCGAAGAATGCTGGGTTTCAGAAGTTTGTCAGGTCTGTAAAAATACTGGAAGGTGTGATTTCGCGCTCGAGCGGGTTCTGCAGTGCTCGAGCGGACCTCTGTTTTGCCACACGCATATTTTACTGAAGACGCTCTAGCGGGCTGTTGGGCGCTCGAGCGGACCGCGCGAACACAGTTTTTCGGATTTCAATAAGAATTGGGTTTTCTTCCAAATCTAGGATTACTTTTGGTTTTCTATAAGTAGTTGGTTTTCTCCCAAAACTAGACTACTCCTGAATTCCTCCAGATCTTCTTTTTGGTTCTTAAGGTTTATATCTGGGGATATTTTGTTAGTTTTCTTTGATGTTTTATTGAGTATTCAATTCATGGTTTAAAGAGAGTACATCAAAGGTTTTGTTTGTTATACACAAGAGAGAGAGAGTTGTTCTTCAGTGGATTCTGAAGAATTCGAGCCTGAAGCTTCGGTGGATTCTGGAGTGGCTCATTGTAAAGACAATTCCGAGGTGAAGACGGGGTTGGGAGAGGCACATAGAGGTTGGTTTAATTAGGCGTGGATTCGCTAGGTAATTAAGAGTATACCTGTGTAATTCCTTTAAATCTTCTTAGTGGATTGTTTTATGACTGTTGCCCGTGGTTTTTTAATCACAGTTGGAGGTGTCAAATTGTGATTTTTTCGCGTTAAAATCGTTGTGTTGATTTGTCTTGATTGTTTGATTGCGATTGTTATATACTGCTTAAATTTGATATATAATCACAAATCAACATCTAGGGGATTTCTAGATTTTTCAATAGTGAACTTTTTTTTCACAAAAATAAAAAAAAAAATTATTTGCTAAAATAAAAAGATTTTTCCAAGAAAAAAAAAAAAGAACCGCATTTGTTTATATCATTTTCAAACTATTTTTAGTATTATGTAAATTATACCAAACATAGTTCAAATATTTTTTAAGCAATTCAGATTTTCTTACAGGTTTAACATGCATATCATACTTTTTTTTTTTTTATTACAGGAAAATCCTCCCACTCTCCCGCAAGTCCAAGGCAGCGCCCCTTGAGGAGATCACTAGGGTGTCCTGTTGTCCGTTCCGAGTAAGAGACTATAACCTGGAAGCTTGTCCCGACCTCCCAAGGCAAGCTCCGCTTAAGTCGGGACTCACACAGCGGGGGAGAATTAAACTCACACCAAGTAGCTGATAAGACATCCTTGAGGTCAACCTCCTAACCAACTGTGCTACGCCCAGAAGATTGGCCCAGAGGAGAGTTGAACCTAGGACCTCGAGGATGTGGGAGACTATATCACAAGAGACTATATCATAACACCGAGTAAGAGACTATATCATACTTTAACCTCAACGCTAAGAGCATTCGTAGTGAAGTAGTTAAAATATGTTATGTGTTAGTCTTTATGATTTATTGAGCTTTCATCTAAAATTTTAAAAATAACACTCTCTTATTTTTTATTTTGAAAGACACTGACAGGTTGCACATTTTGAGAACTAAAGTAAAAAAATATATAAAATTGAGTAGTAAAGTATAACAGATGGCATACTTTAAATACTATTATTGCAATTAAGCCTATAATATATATGTATTGAAGATATTAAAGAATTGAATAGTTCTATCAACATAGAAACCAAATTCCTGTCGATTAATATGTATTTTGTGTCTAATTCTATTTCTGATTTTTGTGTTCACTGCGCAACTGCAAAGAATTTGAACCACCTTAAGGTATGGCACTCTTATGTGGCTAGGTACAAACATTTATATAGCCCACTTTAAGAATGCAAGCTCAACCCTAATTGAAGATCCAAAGTTCTACAATTTTGCTTTGAACCAGACAAGGAGGAAGAAGAAGAAGGGTTGAAGATGACAGACCGGGACCCACTTTGGATCGATCGGCGGTCGTCAGAGTGTGTCAGAGTGAACATTTTTATTTCAGTGAGGCTAAATGGTAAATCACACCAATTTGACACTATGGACCCATTGACATGCCTATCTTGATCAAATCTACTAAAACTAATTTGAGACTCATCAAAATGAGCACTAGAAAAATCATAAAACCATGGAGTGTTAGAGTTTTGGAAAGGCTGAAGATAGTAGTTGATGCTAGCCTTTCTTGCTTGAATTTGCAGTCTCTTTTTCTTCAGTCTTTCCTTCTTGTGAGCATTTTGATGGCCTCCCAACGCTTGCGAGTTTACGAATTCCTTGAGACAGAATTGGCACTCGAACTTCTTGTCGTCTGGTTCGGTTTTCTTGTTTGTTTCCTGGGAAAGTTTTTCCGTTTTTGAGGAAACTCTGGTTGTTGAATTCACACTTTCATGATCATTGCTAACATTGTTGTTTGGGTGAAGCTCAAACCCAAATAATCTGAGCTTCTTCTCAGGGAAGGATTTAGAAGAGTATTCACAATTAGAGACATCTTTTTCCATATCTATGAAAATGAGAAATAAAAAAAAAACTAATATTTTGAAGCACAATGATCTCTTTGTTTTGCATCTATTCCTTTTTATAGTGACTTAGGTTTTTGACAATGCATTGCACCTCTAAACAATAGTTTTATAATCTGTAGTTGGTATTTCCTAGAAAAAGAAAATAATAAATAAATAAATTATAGTTTTATGATCATCATCAGCACAAATGTACAAGATCAATTATATAAAAGGAGGAAAAATAGTAAAAGTCAAACTATGAAACCTATATTTCTCATGCAATATTCGTTTATACTCGTTTATACGATAAATATGCTTTGTCTCCAAATCTCTTCGTTTTGTCCTAACAAAATTTTTAATTATTAATTTATATGAAAATCTCAAGATATGTGAACCTTCAGACATGATTCAACAATTAGAGTGTGTTGAAATAAAAAGAAAAATATTTTAAAAATAAAAAATCTCATGCCAATTTATACCTAACCTCTACGTGTTTATATCCAAAATTATGTTTAAAATTTAAATCATATTCGTTTTTAGTGTTACCCACGTCAAAATAAATTAAGGCCTTGTTTGGCATGAACTAAAAAATTCAAAAATTCAATATCTTATTTAAGTCACGTCATCTTATTTAAATTATATCACTTCTCTACCAAATCACTTCAAACACAACTCTTATTCAACCCATATTTTATGAAAAATCAAAAAATACTATTATTTAGTACATCTCAAATCACTCTTAAATTTACATAACATATTCAAATTTTTAAATATATATCATTTGAAGTAGATACACCTCATACTTTTCCAATCAAAGGATTCAGTACTATGTTTTATTAACTAGGAAATCTATGGTCTCTGAACACTTTAACCTTTAAAATATATAAAGCATAACTTATAATATTACCACTTGTACATTAAAGACAAGTATTCTATGCTCACAAAGGATAGAAATATTATTATATTAATCTTAATGACAAAAGTCAAAGAAAGATTGGAAGGAAGGGGCTCTAACTTTACACCAAATCTATATTATTGTACTTTAATACATTTTAAAAAAATATATATTTACATAATATTTAAGGTTACTTTGCTTGACCAACTAATTAGTGGATACATGCATTGTTATCTACCAAAGCATATCATATAATATTTAGAAATACTGTATATTATATAAATATATTTTTGGATGACCAGTCTTATTCATGTTTATACAATAATGTTGAGTGGTCTAGAATTCTGATTATTCAGCACTTAATGAAGCTTCTTTGTAACTCTCCTTCCACAAACATACAATTTAAAATGAATTGAAATAGAGTAGTGTTAAAATAAAAAAAACTTTAGATAAAATTAATACAAAATAATATGGTAAGTTTAATTTTATCATTTAAAGCAAATTAAAGACCTATAAAACAAATATTTGTATTTTTAAATGATCTTTTTAATTTATACACATAAGACACATGTTAAGAATACTTTAAAAGATGAAAAAAGTACATTTAAATATGAGTCATTAAATAAAAATAATTGTATTATTAAGTTGTGTTTAAATCATAAATTTAGATTGGAATTAAGAAATTTTTATCCATTTCTCACTCATTTTCCTTTTTATTTTCAAATTATTATCAAAATCAATGATCCAAACATAACTAATAGAGGTACAAGTGAACTTATGCCCGGTACAAGTGATAATTATGGTATGAGACATATAAATTGTATATTTTTTATTACACATCCTTATATACAAAATATATAATCTTTTAAATTTGTTGACGTATACCTACATGTAAATAAAATTTATTTTTTAAAATATAATTTTTTTCACATTCTGATATAAAATTCTGTAGAAAAGTATTTTTTATTTAAATAATTTTTACCTTGACCATGTTTTGGGATGCTCTTAAAATATGCTAAACAAAGGAATATAATAAGTGGGTAATGATGTAAGCATATATACTAAGAGTCTTCAATGAGATCTAGGCATAGATCTAGCCATATCTTCTTAGAGTTGGCAAAGCTATTATTTTATGCCCAAAAAATGTGTTCATGGGATTGAGGTCATTGGCAAATATTAACATAAAAGCACTAATGATGGACAGGTGTTGTAGTTGTACCCCACTTTTGGTAGGTTTTGAGGACATATTATAGAAACTATACATTAGATTGTGCTTTTATTCCATGATTTTAAGATCTTCCATTGGTGGACTTCTCGCAACCAATGCACACCTCTTAATTCTCATCATTTCCCCCTCCTTTTCATTGTTTTTATAGCCTAATAAAATTGCCTTTTTTTTATTAAAAAAAAAAAAAAGAAGCTTTAAGAGGAGAATTCCAAATAGGCATGCTATAATCAAGCATTTCACTCTCTTCTATAAAATAAAAATGTGGAATAAAATGAGGCTGATCTTGGGAGGATTGGATTATGGTGGCTGGATGGCTGGTAGGTGGGTTATATTTGATTGATTGATTTTTGTCTCATCTCTTTGTCTTGATCCCTTGCTTAGAAATGGAATTAAGAAGTGGGTCCCTACAAAGAAACTTAATACTTGCAATAGAATGATTTTAGATAAGGTAAAAAGATTTATTAAAATTTTTATCCAAAGATTTGTATGATTGTGAGATTTACATATGATTTATGAGTAATGCTACGTCGCTCGAAAATGGCTCCCCCGAATTCCTCTAAAGGCAAAAACGACATTGTTTTTGTCATTTTTTTTTGTTTTTTTGAATCAGAAACGAAGAAGAAGAAGAAGAAGAAGAAGAAGAAGAAGAAGAGAAGGAAGAAGAAGAAGAAGAAGAAGAAGGAGGAGGGAAGGGAGAACTGGACAGGAGGGGGCATAAACCAGGGGCGGAGGTGCGGTGGAGGCGAGGCGGAGGCTGAGCTGCTGTGACGATCGGCCGAGCTGCTGCGACGGCTTCTCTCTCTCTCTGTTTCCATTTTCGGAGGATTCGGGGGGGAGCTCATTCGAACTCCCAAGCTTTATCCATGATTTATATAATGTGGGCCTCACGCTATACGAGATATTTGATAAAAATTTTAATTAATTTTTTTAATACCTAACATTTTCCTTCGAGATATTATATAACATTACTTAATCAATTAAATAATCAATTTTTTTGAGGGAGAATAGAATTTCATTACTACAAATAGATTTTTTGTATTAAAGTTATTCAAGCATTTGATTTGTTAGAAATTCTTCATTAAAAATGTCATAAAATTTTCAATATTATGATTCCAATTATTTTTTTTACTCTCAAAATGATTAGTTAACATTCTTCTAGAAATGTAAACCAATTTTCTACTTAACTTAAAAATATGATTCATGTTAAAATAAATAATTAAAAATCACCTTTCTTATACTAATTGGTTCCAAATTCTGAAATTATTAAGATTCGTAATCACATTATTCTCTACTGATATTCTTACCATTTAAAACTTAAAAGAGTATTGAGTGCAATCCAAAAACTAATAAAAATTATCCTTAAAAGATAAATTACATTTTATCCTCTTTATGCTTAGTCATTTTTTTTTTTACTTTGACACAAAAGTTTCGTTTTTTCACTTTAACCTTTCATATTTCAAAATTTTCACAATTTACTATTAAAATTAACTTCATATTTAAAAATATTTCATATAAAATATTACAATAACTGTCACATAATATAAAAAATATTTTATTATATTAGACTTTAATTTATGTCAGAGCGTGAGTTATAAGTAATAAAATATTTTTATATTACGTGATTGTTAATATGTTATTTTTTGTTTAATTTTTAAAAAAAATTAGTTTTATGAATAAATTGAGAAAAATTTAAAACATAAGAGTTAAAGTAGAATAAATAAATAAATTTTAAAATTTACAGTGAAAAAATGATTAAACATAAAATAGGTAAAATATAATTTATTAAAAAAAAAAGAAAAGCAAATAACTTCCCACCCGCCCAAGAATGCCAAAATTGACTGAGCAACATGATTGGTAATGACAACCTATTTGATTGTCTTTTCATTGTCTTTTGTATTTTAAAAAATAAAACAATAAAAGTTATAAAAAGAAATATACCACGTCCACATTCAATTAGGAGTTATTTAGAATGACCTAAATAAATATATTTTTTATCTTTTTATAAAAAGATGTGTAAAAAAATAGAGAGGTTGTGTGATAAAAAAAAATAAAAAGATAGATTATTTTGTGTATGCCAAACTTGGCCTTATGCCATTTGATTATAATTTATTATCAGATTAATTATAACTCGTTATTATATTAGTTATAATATTATTTTAATTATGATTTAAGAATTTTTTTATTATATCTTATGTGTGTTTGGTAATAATTTCATTTTATTTTATTTTATTTTATATAATTATGACTCTTACATGATTGAATTATAACATTTGTGATAATTAAACTTACAAATATCTTGCCGTTCCAAAAAAAACTTACAAATATCATAACTTGTATATAGTGCTATAGCATTACCCTAAAAAAAATTACCATTAAGTGATATTTTAAAAAATTTATTATAAATTCAAGAAAGATTATAGTTATTAATATTTATAAAAATTTATTGTTTATTTATCATTAATCCTTAAAAAGGTTTTTTTTATTGATAAATCTCATTTGGAGGTATTCTAACTCAATAAGTCCACTAAGAAAAATTATAACCTAATTAATCTTATGTATTTATATTTTTATTCTATGATGTTTTTTTTTTTTTTCTTATTTGTATTATTTGTTGGAATATTATACCCTTATGTTTATTTTTGATATGTATTGAATAGAAAAGGATATCAACATTTCCTTTTTGTTGCTATCACTATTTTAGTAGTTACCATTATTCATGTTTTTCTTTTTGATTAGTTTTATTCACAATGGTGGTATTGTTTCATTGTGTTAGGGTGAAAAATCTAGAAATCCCCTAGATATTGCTTTATGACTTTGTATCAATTTTAAGCAGTAGATAACAATCCTAATTAAGACAAATCGACATAACGATTTTAACGTGGAAAAATCATAATTGGAGTACTTCCAATTATGATAAAAAAAAATCACGGGTCAAAGCCACAAAACAATCCACTAAGAAGACAAAAG